TTGTCTTCATTCCTTTCTTCTTCTTTGTCTTCTTCTTCTTCTTCTTCTTCTTCATTCCGTTATTCTTCTTTGTCTTCATTCCTTTCCTCTTCTTCTTCTTCTTCTTTTTTTTTCTTCTTCTTCTTCTGAGCTCATAAAGACCAAAGAAACACGTGCGCCGAAACATTCCGGAACCTTCAACATCCGCGCCCAGTGGCCCAGAACAATTTTTCCACGCGCCTGGTGTTCGTTCACCCGGTAGTGGTTCACATCTGCCAGCAAGACATCACTCTGGGTGTTGTACCTTACAACGCTCTGGGTGGAGACCAAACCGAAAGCGTGGCAGGTTGGGAATCACACGCCTGGCAGATTGTTGGGCATTGTGCTAAGTGATTTCTCCATCTTTCAGGTGATTGTTCATTGATTCGGGCCTTTTTTCGTGCTGCTTTTTTCGTGTTTTTTCGTGACGGGACGGTCTCTTTCTCGTGATGCTCTTTGGTTCGGACGCGCCGCGCGATCGATGTGACGACGCGCCGACTCGGACCCTTTCTTCACCGCAGACCCAGCGGGGGGGGGGGGGGGGGGGAGGGCACTGCCTGGTAGGGGCATTCGCAATAGCTGCTTGGATGAAACAGCAAGAAGCTGCTTGGTCACTGCGTGTGCTTCGAACCCAAAAGTCACAGCCACTTAACAGCCGACCCAGGGATGCACCATCCCACGTTTTTTGTCTTGGTGTTCAGTTTTCATCTCCCGGCAACACCGGCAAACGTTCCCCCCCGTCTTCCTCCTTTGGGAGGGTTTCATGATCTCGTTTCCTCGGTTCCTGGCCAAACCCAAAATCGCCCAGACACCGTGCTTGCTTGCAGAAGTTGGCTAAATCCTCCTGGTCAAGACCCTTCGAAGACCCATTGTGGTCGAAAACCCCTTGAGACCGGCGACTGGTGCGTGAAGAACGGGGTTGGGCACCGAGTGCCCGGTGAAGAGAGAGGATCCTTCCGGTGATGGTCATGAAAGACTCCACCGGCACGTCTGGGTGAAGACATGCCCAAAATACATGTTCGGCCAATCTCCAAGGACAACTGGTCAGGCCTCACAGTGGATTCCAAAGCCACAACCACAGCGGAAAGTGCAAAAAACTGAGTCTTTGCCCCCAAACTGAGTCTTCACCCCCAAACTGGTGAGTCCTTACCCGAGGCCACCCTGATTCTCTTGATCGTTGGTGAACTGGGCGAAAGTCCACTCGAACACCGGGTCAGATTCCCGTGGACGGTCCTGCAGGATGCTACTGGTGCAAGTTGGGGTCAGAATGATCAGGTCTGGCTTCTCTTCCTGACCCCAGCAGGCGGATTCAGGATGCCCGCGAGCAGCAGACTCGCCGCGAGGCGCCATGTTGCACATGCCGAGCTGCTTAAGGGAGAGCCATGGGCCATAGCCAGTGCATATATGGCTGAGATATTCCCTGGAAACAGACATGTACAAGGGATACGAGGGCAAGCAAGCATTTCAATCACCAATCAACACTTCTACAGTCCCTGTAGTCGTGGGTTTAGGGTTTCGGGTCCAGCCGCTCCAAGAAACCCATCCGGTCCCACCCATCAGGTCCCCTTTCACTCCCAGCCTGGTCTTTCCGGGTGATGTTGTCCACCACCTTATTCTCACTCCCTCTCGACAACACGTGCCGATCCACCACGCTGGCGGTTACCGGGGTGAAGTCCCTCTTCCTCTCCAGCATGCTGCGCATGACATTGAAGTAGTCATCCCCCAGAGGCGCGTGCATGATCGCATGCACGTTCTTGAAACTAGAGGCCACCCGCAAGGTGCCAATGTGCGCAGGGCCCATGTACATCCAATAGGCCAACTTCATCTGCCGTCCGACCACCGCCGCCCGTGACTCCTGCGGCCTCCGCCTCACCTGCGGCACCTCGCCCGCCACGAGAGCGGCACGGCGCGCGCTGCGCCGCGCGACGGCGGCCACGGAGGCCGCCAGCAGCACCGGGGCATCGGCCCGGTGGGGGGCGGCTGGCACTGGTCGCACCGCCCGGGCTCGCGCAATGACGCGGTGGAGGCGGGCGCTCCAGCGGCGCTGTCCCAGGTGGGGCGAAAGAGAGCGCCATGGCAAAAATTAAAGCTTGAACTGCAAAGAAAATGGTGGAATTCAGATGCAAAGCCGAGTGAAGCATGGAGGATTCCCTTTTCACCTGCCAGGAACAAGAAGAAACACAGAGGCAAATTCAGGCCAAACACTGGCACTAAGTGATCCACACAGGCTTGTCGTCGACCAAGCGCAGCGTGATGCTCTCCTGGAAGGCATCCTCAGAGATTTCTCATTGAAACCCACCATGACTCCATGAACCAGCTACTAGTGGCCTCCAAGACTTGTCTATCTAGGTTATATACCGATATAAAACAAGATATATTGATCTGTCTCAACTCTCAGAATGAAGAAGCCTCCTACCTAGGACACAAGACGATGTCACGTTTTTTTCACCAGCATCACCAGCGTTTCGGGTGGTGACCGGACACGGCGAAGGGCGTCTCGTATTGCTTCATGTTTTTGTTCCATTCACCATCCCGACACCGTGGTGCGAGAGCACAAGATGTTCCTTTACCAGGAGTCACATGTCGGGGTGGTGTTTGGTCCCTATGTGAGTGGAATATGGGCACCCCTAACCTCCATAAAGCACCCCTTTGTGACTCCTGGTATGTTCCTTTTGCTATGTCCCTATATGACTTGCAAACTCGGACATGGGGAGCACGGAAAACTTGCTCCGAAGCAGCTCTGCTGCTGTGCTGGTCCCCGACTTCGATGCTGGGTGGGACAGGTCGCAAATGGTGAAAACACCCGTCTTCACTAAGTGTGACATGATGTGTCGCAAGAGTCACAAGAACTAATTACTGCTATTCAGGGTCGTAGAGAAAACGCGGACATACTGACAGACTCTTTCCTTTTCGACTGTTATATACGAGGCGACCCTTGAGCGTCACAACTAACTACCCTTTCCGGTCTTCGGTTCTCAAGTGAACTCAGAGAAAACGGCCGCTACCTGACGGGTCAATAGCCCTACCCAAGTGATCTCACCTCCCCAAAAAAAATTAAGTTTAAAATGGCCCATCCATCCCCTTTTCTGCCCGTCTTGAGACTTACCAATTCCGTTCAGCAGACTGATCAGACTTGGGTTCTTTGATGTTCTTTTCTACAGGAAGGGAGAGACTCGCACAACCGGACACGAAAACAAAAAGATCTAAAGAAGGCACCCAGCATCCGATGACAGGGGCTCCGCCGGCACCATGGTTTGCTGCGCCAGGCGCTTCACCTTCGGCCCATCCAAGATTTGGGACAACCTGCGGCAGGGTGGCTTTTGGAGCTTTTTCAGATGGTGGGGTGCTGGAAAAATGGTTGAAGTAGAACTCCAAAAACGCGTGTTCTTCATCGAAACAGCCTGTGCATGCTTCGGCCCGTAAACTTCTCATCTGGCTCCTGGGTTGGGAGAATGCGAGGAGCCAGTGGCTGGCGCTCTCTTGCTCAACCGGCTGACGGCGGTTCAGCTGAGACTGAGATGCCGGCAGGTCGACATCCTCCGATAGAGGATAGTTCTTTCGCCTTCCCAGTCCAAGGCATCTGGGTCTTTTCTTGGCCACAAACCCAATGCAGCTCAAGTCTGGCACCTGTCACCTTGCGCTTCATTTCTCACTAGGGATAGGGCACCCCAGATTGGAGCCAGGGTTCTTGCCAATCATTACCCGCCCATGGGCTAAGTCTGTTCCCACCCTATCCAATCTGTCACTGCCTGAGGCATGGATGTCGGAGAGATCTCCCAAATGCTTGTGGTGAATCAAGTATCAAAACATATCATAACATCATCCCCATCAGAATTCTTGGCTCAAATCCAAAATCCTGCTTTTGCCCAACGCCATCCAACATCCCTTGTACTCGACACCGCTTGGGATTGGCTTGCCACGCGTCTTGAGTTGTAACATGAACGATCCAACGTTCACCCTCCGCGTGCGCCTGCGCATGGCCGCCCGTGCAGGAGAGCCCAAGGAGGCTCCCAGGCGAGCGAAGTTCAACGCCCAGACCTCGTCCGCGTGTTCCGCGCGTCTTCCGCGCGTCGCGCGAGAGGCGCGCGGGCAGACGTCACGTGGGCGAGGATCGCTTCGGAGACCGATCGGTCGACCTACCGGCGATACGGTCGTGAGGACGGCAAATGGTGGACTGGTCGGGCTGAAAGGGTGAAGCCACCCATCCCATCCCATCCCCATATGGAGCTCCACCACTTTGGGTTTGTGCTTTTACGGTATCCTGGTAATCCTGGTATCCTGCAGCTCCTGTGTGATGGAGTTTCTCTTGAAGAACTGAAATCTCTTGCAGGCTTTTTCTCCTGGTTCGCTGCTGGCTGGGATGTCGGAAAATGCTTAAAGAGGCAAAATGTATCTGCCAACAAAGGGCAAACAAATGAATTAAACTATTTATATATATATATAATGTTGGGGGAATACACAAGAACACACAAGAATGGACAAAAAACCTCCAGAGTCGTCTGTGTTTCACTGCTGTGTCCCCATATTATGGGAACCAACTGTTCAATGTGAAGTTCGTGACGCCATCTTCCCCTGTGAATCATTGACTTAGGGGAAGAACTCCTGTGCCACCAGCGCCACGCTGGTTCCACCGCTGAAGCTCACCCATGAAAACCTAACACCTGATTCCAGCCACTAGAGCCGCCCAAGCCACCACTCCGAGCATCTCCTGGCGTTTCGCTCGAGGAAACGAAACCATCACGGTGAACCTATTGACTTCAGCCATCCGAAGCCCCCGGGTGTCAGTGCCATGGACCCGTAAATCAGACGACACTTAGACGACCCCATGAAAAATGTGTCGTGGTGTTCAGGTGCAGCCCCGCATGTGTAGAGTGGTCTAAGTTCTAAACATGTCGTGCGGTCAGTGGGTCTAGGTAGGTGACCCGGAATGTAGAGAAAGACAAAGGTCGTTCGCTTTATGATAAATCACTCAAACTTGATTCAAATAAAGAGAACACCGGCATCCTTCAATCTTCCATCGAAGCTTTTAGGGCAGCGCGTCAGATTTCTTCAGCACTGACCAAACCCACCACCACCAAACAAGATTGCCAGTGTTGAAGACGCACAGAGGCGGTTCAGAAACCAGCTGTACTCGCACATTTTGACATTCGCATTCGGTTGCTTGAATCAACTTGAATCCGTTTGCAACCCGTCAAGGCATCAAAACGCCAGCCTGGTCCGAGTGATGGGTACTACCAAAGTCAAAACACTGCATCCTACAATGGCATGAGACCGAAAAGCAATCTGGTTCAGTTGGGGATAGGCACACTTGCCAGTGATCTGCAGCCTCTAAAGACTGCATTCCGGATCTGGGTCCCTGAGTTGGGGATCGTCACACAAGCCAACGAGCTGCAGTCTCTAAAGGCTTCATCCCGAATCTGGGCCACGGAGTTGGGGATGGTCACACTTGTCAACGATCTGCAGCTTTTAAAGGCTCCACTTCCAATCTGGGTCACTGAGTTGGGGATGGTCACACAAGCCAACGAGCTGCAGCCTCTAAAGGCTTCATTCCCAATCTGGGTCAATGATTCGGGGATCGTCACACTTGCCAGCGAGCTGCAGTCTCTGAAGGCATGATACTGAATCTGGGTCGCAGAGTTGGATATGGTCACACTTGCCAGCGAGCTGCAACTCTTAAAGGCTCCAAATCCAATCTGGATCACTGAGTCCGGAATGGTCACACTTGCCAGCGAGCTGCAGCCTCTAAAGGCTTCATTTCCAATCTGGGTCACCGAGTTGTGGATGGTCACACAAGCCAACGAACTGCAGTCTCTGAAGGCATCATCCGAAATCTGGGTAACTGAGTCCGGGATAGTCACACATGCCAACGATCTGCAACCTCTAAAGGCTCCGCTTTCAATCTGGGTCACTGAGTTCGGGATGGTCACACTTTCCAACGAGCTGCAACTTCTAAAGGCTCCGCTTTCAATCTGGGTCACTGAGTCCGGGATGGTCACACTTTCCAACGAGCTGCAACTTCTGAAGGCTCCACTTCCAATCTGGGTCACTGAGTTGGGGATGGTCACACTTGCCAGCGATCTGCAACTTCTAAAGGCTTCACGTCCAATCTGGGTCACTGAGTCCGGGATGGTCACACTCGCCAGCGAGCTGCAGTCTCTAAAGGCTCCATGCCCAATCTGGATCACTGAGTCCGGGATGGTCACACTTGCCAACGAGCTGCAGCCTCTGAAGGCCCGCTGAACAATTACAGTTGCACCACTTGGGATTTGAACCACGACTAGAGATCCGAAGCCAACCTCGCTGGACATATTGGCAATCTCACGTTGGTGGGAGCAGGTCTTATAGGTCACTGTATTTCGTCGGAAAACTACGGTCGCTTCTAATTCTGGCGAAAGGCCTGCATCTGCACCTGTCTCATGATTCGCCAAGAATCTGCTCGACCCCATGACAATGTCCACTGTGGTAATTACGCGTGTGAACGCATCGTCCCAATGCTGACACTGTTTGATCTGCTCCTTCAGGTCTTGAATGGTGGTGTCTGGCATCACTTCAAGAACTATGGCTTCACCGTTCAGCTGCCGAAATGAAACCTTCATGGCCACGGCTACTCTGTGTATAAATCGAAAACAGCAATGTCTTCGAGATCAATCTCTACTCCACTGGAGTCTTGATCTAAAAACCGTCGGAGATCCACATGATGAAAGGACGTATTCCACACTTGCTATACACAAATCGCAACGAAAAAGAAATCCAAACGAACTATGTAGTACTCAACTCCTCAAATCCTCAGTTGCTTCACATCTGTTCACATCAAACATGTGCACAAAATGTTGCATTCACATCATTGACTTGGCTCACAACATTCCACAAAGCACGGTAAAAGTCTTCTTCAATACTGTATTCAATTGATCTTTCTACCCCCCACCAAAGCGCCGTCAGTTGCCAGTTCCTCTGCCATCTGCGCAATTGCGCCAGAGCTGGTCGGCAGCGCTGCAGTGGGGATGTCCTGCCAACGCTGGAAGCGCCGCAGTTGCTCCTGCGGCATTAGCGTTCGAGCACGAGCGAAGCAACACGAGCGAGACATCTCATTCAGGCGGAACAAACATCGAAACCATGACAACCCCGTGACGCATGTTGGTTTCATGACGGAACAGCCAGAACAGCAGCCATGGTGTTTCAGCTCAATCAACGTTCGGCAATCATACGACTAGCTTCGTTCAACTGTGGAGCTGCTCTCATCTCCGTACGGGACCAACGGACCAACTGGTGCCACCATCCAACGGTCAGTTCCTGGTGGTGCATGCACGCATGAACCGCCCAGCTGGGGGCAGAATGAAGCCAGAATAGTCCGTCACCAAAAACTTTGGGACCTTGCATCTTGCCCTTGAGTCATGGATTTGTTGCCACACCAGTGTGAATATACAACGAACTAATATAGCTAGCAAACCGCCTGTTGGTGATGTAGAGATTGCCCTTGGTCCCAAACCAAACAACCAAGAAGACATGTCACCAAAAAAAACGGGACAGTGACACTGCATGATTCTTGGCCCCCAGGACTTGTTGATGAGGGAAATCAAAGAACCCTCAATCCAATTGGATTACACTCGGAAATCCTCGAAGTGGAGTGGAGTGGAGGTCACCACCACCGGCGGAAGGTCTTCGGATTTCACTCATGGAGGGGGCCATCCCCAAGAGAATTCGCAAAAGGTGTAGACCTGCCGCCCTGCGTCCCACCTGCACGAGTGCGTCACCCAGCTGCAACGCGTGGCACGACGCGTCGCGCGCGTACAAGGCGGTGCTGAGGAGGTCGCCACAGCCCAGGGCGAGGAAGAGCAGGTCTGTCAATGTGAAGGCAGAACTGGGCGTGGTGAAGGCAGAACTGGACCTCCTGACCGCCAAAATGGAGGAATCCAACCTCCGCCCAACCAGTTGGGTCTAATGGAGACATGGAGGTTAAACCATCTTTGCGTGAGTGAACTGGCCCAACACCATGTTCATGGATGCTTAAAACAAGAGGGTGGCCACTGAAAATTCGAAGTGTCATGCAAATCACGTCCAAACGGTGGTATTGAAGGATCTTTCTGGAGTTGATCTTCAAAAACAAATCCCAGGGCAATTCGTCAGTCCCTAGGCCAATCGCTGGTCCCAGTGGCAGCTGCCGCTTCGACTCTGCAGTGACCCATGCTGTCAAGCGTGGACAGCCTGAGTCAGCGGAGCGCTGCCTTTAGCAACTGGTGGTGGATCCGGAAGTGGATGCGGATGCTCTGAAAGAACAGCTAGAAGCACAGGGTGATAGCTCACAAATGTTGTGCTGATGTCGTCTTTGAGAAGCAAACTGCATGAAAGATCACCCAGACACTCCATGTATGGTATATATGCCTACATTGACCCTTAAAACCACCCCTGTCTGTATGTAAATATGCCAGTCCCAGACAGGTCGTGCTTGGGTCAAACCCCAAAAAGGCCGGCCCATTGGCACCAGAGACGTCATCGTCAAAAACGAGGAGCTGATGCCCAGTGAAGATGCTGACCACAGCAGAGTGGCGAGTTCCTGCAGTAAAATCCGTGGCGAAAACCCTGTGGTGTCGTGAAAAAGGCAACAAGTGACAAGGTCTTTCTGAACCTGAGAATCACTTCTCTTCCACAAGCTCTGGCAAGCTTCCACCCCCGGCCACGTCTCTTCTGTTTCAGTAGCCAATCTGAGAATGCAGATGTCACCCACTGCTCATCGAAAACACTTAGCGACTTCCATCCGGTTCCGCTCGCCACGACCGGATAAACACCAACACACCTTCTTCCGACCGGAAACCCAGAAAAGACCGGAAGACGGTCCTGCGGGGAGGTGACGGTCTGCAAACGCTGGACGGCAAAACGCAACCTCTCCCGGCGATAGCTGGGACGAACGGAGGAAGGTCTGGGACGTGCGGGACGTGCAGATCCCTAGGGACGGAAACGGGGTTTCACGTTGTTTCACGTTGTTTTCTCACCTGGCAGTGGCAGATTTGGTGTTTTGGATGGTGTTTGGCCAAGCTCCGCTCCGGACCAGTTCCCTTCGCTCTACCAAGCACGGCTTTCCTTCACTCTCGAGTCCACCCGAAACGAGTCGATGTCCGCGGCCCAGCGGCGCATCCTGGAGACACCTGGGATCGGCGACGCCCAAGCGGCCCAAGGCCCAGAGGTAGAAGGAGCCGGAGGTCACCACTCCTTCGTCACGGCACGGAGGTCACGTGGCGGGTTTTCGGGGGTCCCTGGGAGTCGGTTCGTCGGTAGGCAAGGAGGGGATGGGGAGCTAGGAGTCGGAAAGGCGGATGGCTGAAGAGGCCCTTTTCAGGCATTCGGTGTGTGTGTGTCTTTTTCTCTGGAGAAAAGTAGATGTTGAGGTGAAAAGTGAAGTCTTGAAGTCGAGTCTGAGTGGGACCTCAGTGGGATTGGAACTAAGGTGTCCACTCCGCAGGTCTCCAGCCATCAACCCCCCAAGAAGGTGGATTAATACCAAATATATAGATACAATTGTGCATTGCAGGGCGAGGGTGAAGCTGAGCCTCATCCCAACACTTCTCCCACTGAAAGCATCCACCGCACCTCTCCAGAAAACAACAGAAAGCCCTCCACACACAAGAGTCACAGAGCAAACACCTTTTCATTCCAAACAACGCCTTCGCGCAACAAAAAGGGTAACCCACACCCCACGGTACCACGGTAGCGCCTGCAGCGTCGGCGGCCCATAGCAGGTCCAGTGCCCGGGCATCTTGGCCACTTTCTTCCAAAGATCCCAGCAGCGCTCGGAAAGTGATCTCCCCTGCCAAGGTGGAAGTGATTCACCAAAAAGGCTGGGCGGACGGCGGACGATCCCCTAAAAGTATAACAAAGTCTTTGGAGATTGAAGCTGCTGATCAATGAGCCTTGACTTGTCTGGCCCATTTGGGCCCAATGGCTGTGAAGCGCTGTGAACAGCCATGTTTTTTTCATATAAATATGCAAGCATAAAGCAACTCTTCTAGCGTTGGTGCTCTTGAGTTGCCACTTGGCATTGGGGGCATGGATCAATGGGAAAAAACACCAGATGGACTTCGACCAAGAAGGAGAAACGCCCTTCCCATCCCAAGAAGCCCAAACCCACCTGGTTGCTGCTCCGCTCCGAAGAGCTGCACTGCCCGGCGCCACGTCGCCTCCGTCGCCTCCGTCGCCTCCGCGTTCGCCTCCGCGACCGACGCGCCCGGCGCCGGGGCCGCGGCCGCGAGCGCGGCGTTGCGCGCCACGCGGGAAGCGGAGACCTGGCGGAGGTCGAAGGATCTGCCAAGGAACTTTAAAGGTGTGAAAGTGGAAGGAGGTCGAACTGGAGGCAGTAGATCACCCCAGCAAGAAAAGCATGAAAAAACGATGGCCGTTTTTGGGGGATGACTGGGGTGAAGGGCAACCAGTTCCAGCATCATCAGGGTATGAAGCAACACGAAAAAAGCAAGCAGGAAAATGCACTCTTTAGTTGAAGGATGTCGAACGTGCTTCAAGAGAGTTTCACTCTGGACACAAACACATTTGTGGCCTGTGTGGCACGTGTGTCCTGCCCTCCTTAATTTGGAAGGCTTGACTAGGCTTGTAGATTCAATTGGGCCTAGATTCCTTGAGGCGTGAGGATTACTTTCGTTCTCCCATGTTCTCCCACATTCTCCCACTATAGTCGGTTGCTGGGTGAACATTATCATGTTCCTACCGTCAGTCAGTAACTCCATCCAAAAGTCGTGCAAAACCATGGAACACCACCATCTTCATCCCTTGAGGATTCCAATGGCGGCTTTTCCTGGTGTTCATCCAAGACTGTACCATCCCTTCCAACCGGCTCCGGCTCCGCGCCACGGACCTCGTGCAGGGACATCTCTTCCAGGCATCGCAGCGCCATCGGCCACGACTCCACGGCACCTCGCCGTCGACCGGTGCGGCGGCGCAAGACGGTGCGGAGGTTCGGTGCGAGGAGGGCAGTCGAAGAGGATCGCCCCGGCAGGTTTGGACCCAGTGTGATGATCCCAAAGTTGGAAGAAGGTGTGATGTGATGATCTGTGAGGATCCGTGAGGTGTGTAATTTTGCTCCAGGTTTTGGGGGTGACATGAAGATGAGAAGGATGCGGTCCAATCGATGGATGCGATGAGCGTTCTTCTCAGTAGAGAAATGGTCTGAACGAGGGGATCGAGAATTCTCGCGATCTGAATCGTTCCCAGCAGATGGATCAGCGACGGGGTGTCAGACTTGACCAAACACCACCCCGAGCTCTGTGATCCCTGGTGTGGTGATCTTCTGCGCTGGATGGATCTCGAATTTCAGGGTGTCCTGGAGGGTCCAAGCACAACCAACCAACCAAGCAAGGCGAACACAGGAGTCTCACCAACAGGTCCTTCGGTGGCACCTCAAGACCCGAAAAGCCTCCGGTGGCACGACCGTGACCAGACAAACAACTGGAGCCGTTGTCAAAGGACCCCTGCGTTTTAAGACCAGTGACTAGTCTCATCGTTCCCACCCAGGGGTGGACACAGGTTCTATGTGGTTCTGTGCAGGGAGGGTCACCTGGTGGTGACCACCAGGGATGTCAGTTCATTCGCCACCAACCCTCCCCGACCCATCGACACGAGCCATCCACAACGCTTCAAACCCCTGTCGTACGGCGGACCGATCGAAGTGGTCGATCAAAAGCACCACCTAAACCGTCTGGAGCGCACCAACGCTGCCCCAAGGGGCTGATCAGGGTGCCATATCCCACCACATCTCGCCTGATCCTGCCATCGAGCTGATCGGATCTCACGAGCGCGACGGGGGCGCCCCGGACGTGCTACGACCGCTTCGGCTCCTTCGGCTCCTTCGGCTCCATGGGAGCGAACTGTGTGTGAACACTCGTTTGGTTCCCCCGTGGTCTCACTCGGTTCGTTCGTGTGGGAGGTGCGTTTTCAGATATACGCTCTTTGAAGGGTCTCCGCTTCTTTCTGGGTCTCCAGGGTCTGAGCCTTGGGCACACCTGAAGCGTCAAGTTGGCACACCTTTATTTTTAGCAGTTTCGCGCTGGTGCAAGTGCAATCATTGTCAATGTCAATCGTGAAATCGCCGTACATCTATCTAGGGCAACCCCCACACCCGGTGGTTTCGATTTAGCATTCCAACTGCAACCGACATCCACAGATCGAATTCATATATTAATGCGTTCCCTTCATTCGACTTGCTATACACCGCTGCTTTGGGGTGATTGGGTCTCCTTCTTCCTGCCACACCGCCATCCACCGTTCCAGGTACCATTCGTCGCCTCCGCTCCCAGCTGCGATGCAGCACTTGCAGTGAGAGAGCCCAGTTCGAAGTGCAACCCTTGGCCGCACCATGCACACAGACCGCATCGCTGGAGGTCCGCCTGTGTCAAACACATGGCTGTGGGTCAAAACTGGGTCCGCCACTGGGTTGACTGGTTGACTGGGTTGAACAACATATACTGCCAGGGAGGTCAATCCATCAGTGAAATGGGCTCCAGGCTTTGACCCACAACCACAAGCCACATGATTTTACCACCACTTGTCACATGAATGGAATCAATCGTCGATCTCTGCCGGTGTGATTTGAAAGACCCGGTTGTCGGCAGCAAGTCGATCTTTCGCGATTTTCTTGATCCAGTCATGCGATTGTCAAGTGTGCATGTGTGTGTGCTTATAATCCACCCTTGGTTCCTAGGTACTCTTCACTTCATCAGTTGCTTGTCTCAGCAAATCTGATTCGGCCTCTCCAGCTGCTGCAAGACATGCAGACTCCATCTCCACTGCCGCGCTACTGCACAGGCACTCAAGCCGTTTGATGCACCTCGGCTCTCAGCTGGACAAGCTTCAGTGAGGGAAATCTCAGGATATAGGAGCTATGTAAGGGTCGTCACCAGGGTTTAAGATCGCTGAAGTATCCACTTCTTTCAACGAACTGAAAAACAAACAAATACACCAGCATAGACCCCAGATAGCAAAAACATGCAAAAGTGAAAGATTTTTTCTGGACTGCACCCTGCATTGGCAGCAGCTCCAAAGCACACACATGAACCTGTTTACACTGGAAAAAACGCTGCGGTACAGTACAGCACCAGCACCCGGCACCGGCACCCAATCTCCACCAGCACCCGGCACCGGCACCCAGCACCGGCACCCTGTTTCCACCACGCGCACAGCCAGCTCACAGCACCCAGCACCAGCCCCACAGGCAGCACCAGCACCCGGCACCGACACCCTGTCTCAAAAGCGTGCAAAGAAGAACCCCATAGCTGTCGGTATCTGGCGAAAAAGCCTGGGCATCCCAAAAGCGGTGCCACGCACTGCCTCTGATGTTGTCTCTTGTTTAACACATTGACACCGACATCGGAGCAAACCTTTTGGGGAAAACCGAAAGCGACATTCGGCAGCACGTCCGTACGATGTCGTCGGTGTTCACCCAGGAGCGGAGGGCATCCGCAGGGTCCATGGCCCTTGGTGCATGGCGCATGGCGGCGCGAGGGCAAAGCAGGAAGGTTGGGAGCGGATGTGGGAGGATTCTCCAAAATCCCATAGAAATTGGGAGGATTCTTCGGTGATTCCCCGTGCATTCAAGGGGGTATCTCTTGAGAGGTCAATCACCTACCTTGCATGACTCCAAAGCATTGGTTCAGTTCGGCCCCAGGTGGAAGTGCATGGAAAGTAAGCGTAGTTCAAAATCTGCAGGGTGGAACCAGGTGCAACTCCTGTGTCTTGGGGGCAGCCGCTTCGCGGTCCTGGCTCCATACACCCCCCCCAGCACTTGCACCCATACAAAACTGGAAGAAGTAGTCCGAAAAAAGTAAATCATCGCACTCAGATCCATTGAGCGACATCCACCAAATCAACCGTGCGACGCAACAATACACTTTCACCATGGTCGACCATGACATAGATCCAAAGCTCATGGTCGACCTCGGCCACCCGGGCCCCCCAACAGAAACTCTGATGCACATGGTGGGACCGTTGAGCCATGGCCAGGCGTCGTGGCACGCAGCACCCTTCGCCATCGTCCACCGGAGGAGGAGCATATCAAAACACCCCGTTGGAGAGGAAGGTCCACCTGCAGACCTGAAGGTGCAGGAGTCCGGAGAATTGGAGAAAGTCAGGTGCGTAGGGGGGTCCAGAAACATGCCAAGTGAAGGGAGGCTCCTCTTGTGCGATGTTTCTCTGGCATGGACTTGTTGGTCGAGGTCTCGGTAGTAGATCCTATAGAGAAGTTGGCATCAAGTCCCAAAACTATTTGTTTAAAAGGGGAACCCAAACTTTGTTTCCAGCAAGCCAAACCGTAAATATGTTTTCCACACACGTCTTGAAAAACCGCCAACTAGGGAACCGCAGCTGGGGCCTACTGTGTCAACGCCCGTGCTCAACCAACGGGCGCCTGCAAAGGACAGTCGTGTCTGAAGATGCACTGCCAGTGGCCATGGAGGAGAGCTGCCCAAATACGCCGTGAGGGTCTCAGTGAATCGGGGCCCAACTCACGACGAGATCGACATCTAGGTGAGGATGAGGATGGGGATGAGGTGAGGATGGATTTGGAGGTCTCTAAAGGAGTTTGGCAACATGTTCCCTCACAGGGCGCCAACACCGCTTCGCAGTCCCCACAGCGGCACTGAGAGCATGGCTTTCGACTGAAAGTATTGGACGAAGTCATACAAAAGTAGACCTTGGAAAACACAAAGTGCACAAGCCACGCATGTTGTTTCTCTTCATTTCCCTTCTCGCGGTGCTTGCGGCCCTACCATATTGAGACACCCTTGCATACATCTTTTTCCTCAGTATATATAGATATATATATACATAATTCAGAATAATTATATACATACAGTATAGCCCTGCCTTTGGTTTGCAGAAAGCTTATATATCTGCAAAAAGCGATAACCAAAAATTTGCTGCAGAAAGCCAACGGTCCGACAAAATGTCTTTCTCCAAGACTCCGTGGAATGACCCAGGCTGACCCAATCGTGGTGATGGTGGCGGTGGTGGTGAGTGAGTAAGTGTGACTGTGAGTACAACTATGAGTGTGAGTGTGAGTCAGTGAGAAGGAGAGCGAGAGTGAGCGTGAGCGTGAGAGTGAGAGTGCGAGTGCGAGAGTGAGTCGGAGTTTGAGTGTGATGTGAGAGTGAAGAGTGTGAGTGTGAAGACTGAGAGTGAGAGTTAGTGTGTGAGTGACTGTGAGTGAGGGTGGGTGGGTGGGTGAGTGAGTGAGTGAGTGAGTGTGAGAGTGAGAGTCAAAGTGAGAGTGAGAGTCAAAGTGAGAGTGAGAGTGAGAGTGAGCTGTAGTGGCCTCAAGCTCCATGTGTCGAACATTCAGCCGTGCCACCTGCGCAATTACATTTGGGATTGTTGTCGACGTGCAACTGGGCTATTGCCACTCTGGGGGAACTATAGGGTTCTGGGGCAATCCATCTCTAGCCTGGGAGGATTTCTTACCCGGTCATTCGAACAGCCAGGGCCTGCGCCAGGACTGTCGTTGGAGCTGAGGACGCTTGACAACCTTGGCAAAGCTTGCAGAGGTGGAGCGCCAGGACTGTCGTTGGAGCTGAGGGTGTCCCAGCCGCTTGCCCACGCTTGACAACCTTGGCAAAGCTTTCAGGTGGAGCGCCAGGACTGTCGTTGGAGCTGAGGGTGTCCCAGCCGCTTGCCCACGCTTGACAACCTTGGCAAAGCTTTCAGAGGTGGAGCGCCAGGACTCTCGTTCGAGCTGAGCGTGTCCCACCCGTTTGCCCACGCCTGAGTACCTTGGCAAAGCTTTCAGACGTGGAAGGGGCTTATATCCGCAGTCATCTAAAGTCTGTGGGCAAGTTCTGACTCAATCCTGTGAATGCCGCTTCACAGGCCAAAGGTCACCATTTTGGAGAGAAAACTATTGGTCATGGCCAATTTGTACACCAAACTGTTGGATGTGCGCACATTGAAGGAACATGGCTGAACATGGTTGCTTTGGCAAAAAATCAATTAATTTCGTTCACTCTACCTGGTCTCCTTATTGGTTGGCTGACATGACTGGGAAACAAAACGCTCAAAGTCTACAGTCAGTGATCCCTGACCCGCTCTTCTTCCATGGTTTTAGCCCTTTACATAAAGCGGTCCTTGAGCTTCACCTTTTTCTTTTGATTGATGACATATATCTGAACACAGATGTATGATTGAACGCTCTACAAAATGCCGGTCTAGGCGCCAGAAATTAGCGCGTCAAAATGACATCGCTGTAGTGGCCTCAAGCTACCCCATCGTGTAGAATAAACTTCAATGGGGGTGACAATCTCAATCGTTTTGCCTGCCACGAAACTTGAGAAAAGGGGGGTGGACAAAAGGTTGGTCGGCAGCAGCTGCAGCCGCAACCCCCCAAGCAGCAGCAGCAGACCACAAACCAGCAGCATAAGCAGCAGCAGCAGCAGCAGCAGCAGCAGCGAGGCACCACTCAGCAGCAGCAGCAGCAGCAGACCACAAAACAGCGGCGACAGCAGCAGCAGCAGCAGCAGCAAACCCAGCAGCAGCAGCAGCAGCACACCAAGCAGCAGCAGACCACCAAGCAGCAGCAGATTCATTCGAATCCAAACGATAAAATAAAATTGAAAGAAGTGATTCGTCCCAGGGGTCAGGGTGGATTCGATCCCAATGGGGGGGGGGGGGGGGCCAACTGCAAAGTCATTTGGAAAATTTCAAAACCAGGTCATGTGGGAGAAGTCTGCTCCTAAGCTAAAGCTTATCAAACTCAAGGTTGCCAACCTTTCGCGATATGCAATCTGAGGTTCTGCCACGAAATCTGCACTTCGAGGTGTTGCGCCTGCCACGAAATCTGCACTTCGAGGGACACACTAAATCTGCACTTCAAGGTTCACAAAGTGCTGTGCTTGCCACGAAATCTGCACTTCGAGGTTCACAAAGCGCTGCGCCTATCACGAAATCTGCACTTTGAGGCTCACAAGTGCTGCCCCACCACGAAATCGACACTTTAACGTCAACAAAGCACTGCGCCTGCCACACTTTTTGAAAACCGCACGATTCACTGAATGCGTCGAAGATCACCACCATGTCCAAAATGCTGCGCCTGCCGCGAAAGCTACATTGCTTCCGCTCCGATCCCTTGCGCCTGTCACGAAAAGTCGGACAACCAAAGCATGAGGTTTCCCTTGCGCCTCCCACTAAAAGTGACCACCCTGCCCGAAAATGCATCTGGCACCACAACGAGAGCGCAGTCGCGACAAGCACCCGCCGCGGACACCCAGATTCTCCGACCCTGCGCAGTCGAAATGCACTTCGAGGATTTTGAGAGGCATGAAATTGTATTGTATATAGCAACGATATAGCCGGACCCGACCGCCGCTGACAATACTCACATGGATAGTGGAGCCCGAACGCGGTCTGGGTGAGCTCCCGCGCACTTCGCTTCCCTGAGCTGAGCGTTGGGAACAAGGTCTTTGTACTTCACAGTCCTGTTTGCGGAGTTCTTTGTTCACGACCCTACGGGGAGGATCTTGGCACCGACTTCATGCACGGATGTCAAAGAGGGCCCGCAACAACAGAGAAGATGACAGACCCCACAACCCAGCTCCGGCTCCATGACATCGGGACTCTTTCGTAACGTCTGATTATTCTCCACCTGCTGCTCTGATCTGATCGGGGGTCTCACCAGTCTGACAATGATCTTACAAACATGAGGTTGCTACAAAGTGATCATTTGAAAAAGTTGCCTTCCTACAAAATGACCTGCCTACCCTCCGGCTTGCTTCGAACATGTAACAAAAAGTCCATCTACAAAACGCCGTGGCCGGACTATATGTTTTGACATTCTCCAGGAAAGGGCCCAACCCTCCCCAGAAAACCTCAAAACTAACTCAAATCAAGATTTGTGCAGGCGTTGGGGCCCACCACCGGGCCTCAACCACAAGTGCCTCAACCTGCCTCAACCCCGAGTCGCAGTTGGCACCATCGGACCTCAACCGCGAGCGCGCTTTAGGCCGCAGTGAAGTGCTATGATAGATCGCAGTGGGCACCGCCGGACCTCAACGGCAAGCTCACGACTCACGACCGCAGCGGACCTGAACAGCAAGCTCCAGATCGCAGTGGGCACTGCCGGACCTCAACCGGTGAGAGGATAGCAGTGGGCAAGATCTATGAATCAAAAAAAAAGTTTTCATGGATGCTGACATATGCTGACTGCAAGTCCCGCAACCCAGCCTGTTGTTTGTCCTCGTGTCGCACTTCCATCAGAATTACATGAGACCGGCCGTGGAAGGATTCTTCTCTGTGAAGGTGTCAAAAACCTATTATCCGGGCCAGAGACATGCCTAGCTGCCTAAAGGTATCTAGACATATTGGGCTCCAGTTAGAGGTGATGGTCGCGATGATGGTGGTGATTGTCGTGACCGTGGCGGTGACAGTGGCGGCGGTGGTGGCGGTGGTGGTGGTGATCGTGGTCGGGGTCGCGGTCGCGGTCGTGGTCGTGGTGGCGGCGGCGGCGGCGGTGCTGGTGGTGGTGGTGATTGTGATTGTGATTGTGGCAGTGGTGGCGGTGGTGGTGGTAATGGCGGTGGCGGTCGTGGGCGTGGTGATGTTGGCGATGGTGGTGATGATGGACACAGTTCTGGAATTGAAGGTCTGGGTCCAGAGTTCAGAGGTGGAGAGGGAGATCAGATAAAAGGACGTGTAACAGCACGCGCATGAGAGTGCACGTTGCACGTATGGGAGCACATATATAAGGACACGCATGAGAGCAAGATAGACAGACAGACAGACAGACAGCCAGGCAGGCAGGCAGGCAGACAGACAGACAGGCAGGCAGGCAGGCAGACAGACAGACAGACAGGCAGGCAGGCAGGCAGGCAGGCAGACAGGCAGGCAGGCAGGCAGACAGACAGACAGACAGACATACATCCAGCCAGGCAGACAGGCAGGCAGACAGACAGACAGAGCCAGGCAGGCAGACAGACAGCCAGCCAGCCAGGCAGGCAGGCAGACAGCCAGGCAGGCAGGCAGATAGACTCCAGACATGCCGTCTAAGCACCGAACTTTGCGCTGAACAATGAAAACTGTGACAGCTGGCTGCATCCTACGCTTTAGTTCATATTGATAATAATGTCATGTTTGCCCTCCGCGTGCAAAACTTTGTCTTATCCCTCTTGTTGTTCTTCTCATGCTTCTGCTTCTGCTTCTGCTTCTTCTTATTATTGTTATTCTTCTTAGTCTTCTTCTTCTTTGTCATCTTCTTCTTCGTCGTCGTCGTCTTCTTCTTCTTCTTCGTCTTCTTCTTCTTCTTCTTCTTCTTCTTCGTGTCCGTCCTTTGTGATAATCTGATAAAATGGCTACGGACCACGCCACTGACTGAAGGTACTATTCCGGTGTGCAGGGCCTTTCGTCACGAACACAGTCCACTGAGCCCGAGCCCGCGGCGTCGCGCGCGTCGATCGCGGCGCGTTCCACACCGAGCCGCGAAGACCAAGGTCCCAGAGCGGTCCAGCCTAAAAGAGGGAGGGGAGCGTGGTGGGTCAAGGGAAGGAAAGGGAAGGGAAGGGGTGGCACCTTTGTTTATAAAGACCCTTACATGGCAAGTCCAAAAAGTGAGATCTGGATGTTGCTGGGGGCTTTTGGCGTCGCATGGAGTGCAGCGGCCGCCCACTTTCTCTGGTGGAAAACACACGTCGTGGACATCCAGTCTCGCACGAAATGCCATCAACACAACCCATAGATGCAGAAGTTGCGCCAAAATCCTGAACCCCCCAGCATCTTTGCTGCCCGCAGGTTGAAGCTTTGGTCACCTGGTCCACCCGCACATCAGCTTAACCCCAAACCGCCAGTCCCCGGTCCGCCGCAACTCGTCCGATGCCTTGTAGATCGCCAGAACGCTCACTTCGTCCGACCCCAACGAGCGCCCACGCCAGCGCCTCGGGCTGGCTAGCTCCGTGCGACACGAGGTGCGTTCCGAACGCGTGAACGAGGGGTTCCGAATGCGCCAAAGAATGGGTTGTCAGATTACAGTCGTTTCAGAGGTTCGATGGCATGTCAGGGGTGCCATCGAACCTCTGAAACCACTGTAAATGTAAAGAGACAGCCATGAGAATCGGAGATTAACACATTCCTCAGTGCGAACATGGTCCAAGCCATTGGTTTCTGCAAAAAACGCATAGGACTCGAACCAATTGTTGAGTTCGGACTCGAACCTTGCAGAGGGGTAGGGAACCAACAGAGTTGAAAGCGCAATCTGCAGTTGAGAGTCGAAAGTTTCACCAAAAACGGATCTGTAACATGATATAACTCTTGTTTTCCAAGCCATCCCCTGTTCCAGAAGCGATCTCATGTTGCATCATTCCAGCAAAGGAACACATGCTTAATTCACCCAAGCCCAATCTAAATGAGGCTCGGTTCTTCGTTTCTTGGACCAACGGCATCTTTGATGCCATCCATTTGATCTACTCCAGACAATAGATGGAAAGCTGTTTCCAGGATGTCCATGATCTTAGGCAACCCTTATTGTTCGACAAAGTATCGAGTTTGAGGACTCTTCAGAGTTCAAAAAGAAGGAACCAAGAACCTTTTCAGAGTTTGTTGCATCAATTGTTACAATACTTTGTTGATCTATCAGCCCTTCTTCCCAACTAGTTCCATGTTCATTTCGTCCCTGGCTTCCTAAGATTCGGAGATTCGGTGCCTTTCTTCTTCCCGTGGTTCATTAGTTCTGGTGCCCGTCACTGTGGTGCCCAAGCGGCTCGAGGTGCCCCAGCGCAGCGCTCCAATCCACCGGGCGAAGCAGCTCGCTGCGAGCGCCGCCGAGCGCCGCGCGGCGGTCCGCCGCGGCCGCCGTGGCCAAGGCGTTGAAGGCCACGAGGTTCAGCTGCTGTGAGGCCTGTGAGGCCCGGGCAGACCCGGTCACAAGAACATTGGAACGGACCGCGGTATTTTTTTTCAGGGCGTCCCAGCTGGTGGTTTAGAGGTCTGTTTTGCATCAATCCGCATGTTGCTGCGCCCGGAATTACTCCAGCAATGCGCGTCCAATCCTAATCCGCTTCAAAGATCTCTGGAACCTGTCTCTCTTTGACAGTTTTCCCGGTGAACTCCAAGTGTTGGGAGGTTCCCAATCAATGCTGATCCCCTCTGACTCTCCAAGTCAGAACTCCAAAACCACCTCCTGGGAGTTTCGTCCGAGGGTGGTGTGCTTGGTGCTTTGGACAACTCTGGTTGTTTCTGAGAACTTGTTGTTCGATGTTTTTCGGACCCACTCACTCACTCCGGACAACTGCGTCCGGTGTCCACCACCCCAGCTCCGACCAGGTCTCGGGACCAGGCCTCGGTCATGCTCCTGGATGTCTCGTGGCATGGTGTAGAAGTGGAACACGCGAAAGAATTCACATGAAGTGCACGCAGGGTCACAGCCCGAGTTGAACAGCCCGAGTATGATGTTCCCACATGTTGCCTCCGGGATACATCATTCCATGGGTACTTCCATGGGTATGATTTAAATATTTTTAAATGATGTATACGAGATCCGGACTGAAGTGTTCCATCTCTCTTTTAAATTCATCAATCCCATATAAATGGGTCACAGCCAGGGAACTGGAGCTGCTTAAGAAACAGTGATCCATCCTTTTTGGTGTGTGTGTCTTTTAAAATCCGGAAGACACCCTTTCTCATTGCCATCCGCTGGCTGGCTAAGTCGGACGGGTCTCTCTTTTCCGAACCGAACTGGGTGTTGCAGCTGCTTGGCGTTGCCCGGCAACGGTCTCCCCAGGTCAGATTGGCATCGATGGCCCACGTCGACTTCAGTTTCTTCTGGCAAAGGAGGCAGTTCGCCGCGGTTTTGGGGCGAGGAAGGAGCTCAGGAAGTTCGCCCTTCCGGCTCAAAGTCTCCCTGACCGGCTAGTTGAACAACAACTCTTTCCCTCCTTCCCGGTAGCCCATCGCCCCTCCCAAAAGTCTCCTCAGCAAAGACTGGGCCAAGTGCCAGGGAAAAAATTGGGTGGAGATGGCCGAACTGGCGCAAACCTTGAGGCGTGAAGCGGATATGAGCTGGTGAAAACCCCACGCGTCTTTCTCCTCTTGCATGGACTTGTTTTTGGGGTGCTATGTACTTGGTAGGTGGCTTTACTCAGATTGTCCTTGACCGATTGCACCATTTCCATAGACTTTTCTGCTAGTTTGTGTTCTTAAGACCTGCGGAATTCGTTCATGACCATGCTGGTGATAGACTCTCTCCAGAAGCTCAAGGGGCCGGCAGGGACACCGGGGACACCTGTACAGCCTGTACTGATGCGGACGTGGCATAAAAGTCCCACCTATGACAATCTTCCAGGACCATTGTCACACTCTCTCTGAAGCTTCACCGACTCAAAGCTTGGCCGACTCGGCCTTCAAACGACGAGGTGTCGCACCCCAAAACGATTTGAGCACATGCCGTGGATTACGGTGGCCAAGTAGGGACGACTATATCGGCGAAGGTTCCGGCGAACATGATCAAGGCGGAAAAGGCTCGCCTGGAATCTGAGGAGTAGAGACTCGCCTTCTGATCAAACAAATGAACATCCAGACCCTTCAGCTGTTGACATCCCAGCAAGTGTGTTGGAGTAAGATGGAATCTTCCGACGATATGACTATGACAAGCTGAAAATGTGTTGAAATCTTTACATATACTCTCGTCACTCCAGAACTGTTGTGTAGATTCATGGTCTCCACCCTCAGTGTTGAACAAAGTCTTAAATCACCCTTAACCTCCCCACATTGCTTCAAAGCAGCCCCGCCAAAGTTCAGGCGCTCTTGGGGCAACGCCATCAGTAAAGCCTTGAAGCATTGCAACTCATCCAAATATCCACTCAGAGCTCCCTGGTCTAAGTGTTTGGTTCATTCTGTAATTTCGGGCCTAAATACACTCCTGGTCAACATATGAAACATAAAACATGTTTTGGACACCTTAGCTCAATTCCGGCCTTTCCGGTGCCTCACATCTCAGCGTGCCATCGTCCGTAAATCCCGTCAGCGAATGCGGAAACATCAGCATCCGAAACCTCCCAAATCCCAAGCGCTCTGTTGGTTTCAGCGTGTCCATGTATTGGTTCGGTGCATTGGTTCCCAAGGAGTCCCTGAGTCCCTTCGTATCCAGTGATCTCCGCGGACCCGCTGAGCGTCCGTCACTTCGTCTGAAACGCATTGGATTGGGCATGGAGATGGTCCAGTTGTGTGCTATTTCTGAAGGCAGAAATCCCTCCTTTCACTGATCGGTTGATCTGAGATACCTCAACCAACAGAACAAAATGAACATTTGAGCGACACTGCGTTTCAAGCCTGCAAAAAGGAGGAGGAACGGTTTGGCTGCTCTGTTCGTAAGACATTGGTGGTCAAAAACAAACAAACATGGACAAGTATGTCGAAACATGGGATTGCATCTGGATTGACTCCACAAAGAAACTAAGACATGCTGATTTGTGGGCAGTGTGGAAATTCACATCCTCCAAAAATCACACCAATTCCATCCTCATCAAACCTGTACCCCAACCAGCCAAGGCACGCAAGCCTGCGGCCAACTGCTACAGCCCCGCAAAACGGGGCTCCAGGAAAACTCGTCGGGGGAGACCTGCCCAAGGTGGCTCTCAGGTGGGGGTTGACATATCGAAACAAAGAAAATGACAAAGCAGGTCTCAGTTCACGTTGACAAGAAAATGTGTTTTGTGTTTTTTTGTCTCTTGTTGGGCACATCTTGCTGTCGTTAGTCCCACTCAACTTGGCGCCAGTCGCCTGAGAATCTCCAGCGTCTCGAAGTGCGAACATGGCCTTTCGCCACTGCCCAGCCTTCTCACATGCACCTGATTCCACTGGTGTTTCGCGGTGTCTTCCGCCATGGAACAACCTATCACTCCCCAATGAGGACCCGTTTGCTATCACCATGCAACAGGTTTGCCGAAAACAACCTACTTACATGGGCGTAGTGCTTACTATGTAGTTGCAGGGATTACTAAGTAGTTAGCAGACTTAATGTTGTACTTGTGCTACTTATCTATCTTCGGTTGCTGGACTTAGTATGTATACTTACTGTCCTACTTATTAAGTATCACAGTTGTAGTTACTATAATCTTACACACGCTGCAGGGCTATATGCT